CTTGCCACCTCAAGTCCTAATGGAAGGGGATTCCCCTTCTAAACATTAACACCATCCACAGTCTCCCCTCCTCCCATCCCATCAATCATCACCAGATCTTCAATAAAGGTAAGTGTCATGTAACTGTGCATGTCTTCTTCAGTTTGTGTGTATTAAAATTAATACTTCATGCGGTAAAAATTTTTTTTGCTCATACTTTGGTGTGTCAGGAACGGATTAATTTGATTTCCATTATTTCTTATGGGGAAAATTAATTCGGCTAACGATAATTTCGCCTACGTTGAGCTCTCAGGAACGGATTAATAGCGTTAGGTGAGGGTCCACTGTACTTTTCAAACCATACCATGGGCAGGGATAGAACCCGCGATCAGAGAGTCTCTAAACTCCAGACCGTCGCGTTAGCCACTGGACCAGCTAGCCACAATAAGATTCGTCCAACTAGGTACAGTGGACCCTCGACCAACGATGGCACCGATTAACGATAAATCCGACTAGCGATACATTTTATTGCAAAAATTTTGCCTTGACTAGCGCTAAAAAACCCGACCAACGCTATTCGTTCCATTCGAGACGTGTCCACTTTGGCCTGAGCACGCCTCACTTGTCCCATGGGTGCCAGTGTTTACAAGCCAGCCAGCCACTGCGGTCGCTTCCAAACATACAACTGGAACATTTCATATTATCACAGCCTTTGTAGTGATTGCACCTGCAAAATAAGTCACCATGGGCCCCAAGAAAGCTTCTAGTGCCAACCCTACAGCAAAAAGGGTGAGAATTACTATGGAGATGAAGAAAGAGATCATTGCTAAGTATGAGAGTGGAGTGCGTGTCTCCGAGCTGGTCAGGTTGTATAGTAAACCCCAATCAACCATCGCTACTGTTGTGGGCAAGAAAACGGCAATCAAGGAAGCTGTTTTTGCCAAAGGTGCAACTATGTTTTCGAAACTGAGATCACAAGTGATAGAAGATGTTGAGAGACTCTTATTGGTGTGGATAAACGAAAAACAGATAGCAGGAGATAGCATCTCTCAAGCGATCATATGTGAAAAGGCTAGGAAGTTGCATGACGATTTAATTAAAAAAATGCCAGCAACTAGTGGTGATGTGAGTGAATTTAAGGCCAGCAAAGGTTGGTTTGAGAGATTTAAGAAGCGTAGTGGCATTCATAATGTGATAAGGCATGGTGAGGCTGCCAATTTGGACCACAAAGCAGCTGAAAAATATGTGCATGAATTCAAGGAGTACATAGACTGTGAAGGACTCAAACCTGAACAAAGGTTTAATTGTGACAAAACAGGCCTGTTTTGGAAGAAAATGCCAAGCAGGTCCTACATTACTCAGGAGGAAAAGGCACTCCCAGGACATAAGCCTATGAAAGACAGGCTTACTCTGTTGATGTGTGCCAATGCTAGTGGTGATTGCAAAGTGAAGCCTTTATTGCTGTATCACTCTGAAACTCCCAGAGTGTTCAGGAAAAACTATGTCCTCAAAGCTAATTTATGTGTGCTGTGGAGGGCAAACAGTAAGGCATGGGTCACTAGGGACTTTTTCTATGACTGGTTACACCATGCATTTGCCCCCACTGTGAAAAATTACCTCCTGGAAAATAAATTGGACCTTAACCCTTTGACTGTCGCAACCCCCAATCCTGAGGTGTCTAGTGGTGTCGCAAAATTTAAAAAAAAAAAAAAATTATTTTTTCTTATGAAATGATAGAGAACCTTTTCCAGATTGTAATGACACCAAAAAAAACGAAATTTGATGGAAAACTGACGGAATTATGTTCTCGCGAAGTTAGCGACCTCGGCGCTGTTTACAAATCGGCGATTTCGCCCACTTTGAGCCCTATTTTCGGCTAATTTCATTGTTCCAGTCGCCCAAACTCATAGCTATTTCTTTAGAAATCCATTTTTTCTATCGATTGAGTACAAGAAACTGCCCATTTACCGATTTCAACTACCTAATAATGTGGTCAGAAATTTGCAATTTGGCCAATTTCACGAAAACTAAAAAATATGACAATTTCAAAATAAGGTCCAGAATGAACAATGCAGACATTCCTGGCCCTAAAATAACATTTTCTTTGCTCATCAGTCATGTCTCCAGGCCCCTCTGATATTACTCTTGCTTTCTATTTTGAATTTTTATTCAAACAAAAAATAGAAGACTTACTATTATGCAGACTACTGCAATACTGTAATAATTGTATAAATAACATCAACCCATTCATGACTGCATATTAGAATGGCTAGTTGGACATTTATTGGACAATGGCATCATTTGTTTACTTTTGAACATTGGCAAAAATCGAACATTTCCCCTACTTTGAGCTCCATTTCTAGGTTCTTTTTATAGTAAAATCAATCAAAATCACCTCTATTTCTATAAATGTTTTCCATTCTATCAAATGAGACGAAGAAAACGAGAATACACCCATAAATACTATATGAAAGTAGACCACAAAGTCGGCATTTTAATTAAAAAAAACGGTCGGAGTTTTTTTTTTCTCATTATGCACTGCGTGCTCCAGGATTTTTTTTATATGGTGCACACTGACCACACAGACCCATTCTCTCACATGTGGGCCTACCAGCTTTCTCCTGCTTAATTTGAAGCCGCTAGAATTTATGAGTATATATACGTCAAACACAGTACCTCGTAAGACGTATATATACGGCCGCGACAGTCAAAGGGTTAAGTGCCTCCTGGTATTAGGCAATGCTCTTGGTCATCCTTCAGACGTGGCAGAGCGACTTTCTAGGGACATGAGCTTCATTAAGGTGAAGTTTTTGCCTCCTAATACCACTCCTCCCCTGCAGCCCATGGACCAGCAGGTCATTTCCAACTTCAAGAAACTGTACACAAAAGCTATGTTTGAAAGGTGCTTTGCAGTAACCTCAGAAACTCAACTGACTCTAAGAGAGTTTTGGAAAGATCACTTTACCATCCTCAATTGTGTAAACATTATAGGTAAGGCTTGGGAGGAAGTGACTAAGAGGACCTTGAACTCTGCTTGGAAAAAACTGTGGCCAGAATGTGTAGACAAAAGGGATTTTGAAGGGTTTGAGGCTAACCCTGAGAATCCTATGCCAGTTGAGGAATCCATTGTGGCACTGGTGAAGTCCTTGGGGTTGGAGGTTAGTGGGGAGGATGTGGAAGAGTTGGTGGAGGAGGACAATGAAGAACTAACCACTGATGAGCTGCTAGATCATCTTCTTCAGCATCAGGCCACACCTGAGGAAACTGCTTTGGAGGGGATAGAGAAATTGAAGAAGTTGCCTACTTCTAAGATTAAGGAAATCTGTGCAATGTGGCTTTAAGTGCAAACCTTTATGGATGAAAATCACCCTGACACAGCTACTGCAAGCCGGGTTGGCAACCTGTACACTGACAATGTTGTGAAACACTTCAGAAATGTCATAAAGGAACGGGAGGTACAGGCCTCTATGGACAGATATGTTGTGCGACAGAAGTCCAGTGACTCTCAAGCTGGTCCTAGTGGCATTAAAAGAACAAGGGAAGTAACCCCGGAAAAAGAGTTGCTACCTCAAGTCCTAATGGAAGGGGATTCCCCTTCTAAACACTAAGAAGATCCACACTCTCCCCTCCTCCCATCCCATCAATCATCACCAGATCTTCAATAAAGGTAAGTGTCATGTAACTGTGCATGTCTTCTTCAGTTTGTGTGTATTAAAATTAATATTTCATGTGGTAATTTTTTTTTTCAATACTTTAGGGTGTCAGGAACGGATTAATTTGATTTCCATTATTTCTTATGGGGAAAATTAACTCGATTAACAATTATTTCGATTAACGATGAGCTCTCAGGAATGGATTAACATTGCTGGTCGAGGGTCCACTGTATATTTCTACACCAGAGGAAGGTTAACATAGGCACCACTGTGGCCACAAATGCAAGTTTTTACAGACGAATCTGCAGTTAGCGTGGCCGTGACGAACTCTAGCTCAAGTCCCCTCTAAGCCGTTAACATGACTCACGAAATCGTAATGACACGTGGTATGGTTTGTTTGCAATCGTGTGATTACGATTTCGTGAGTCATGTTAAGGTACTTTTCGTTGTGAAACCAATCAAAATCATATCTATTTCTGTAATATATCTTCCATTCTATCAAATGAGACCAAAAAAACCAGAATACAACCATAAAAACCATATGAAAATACCGCTAAGGGGCGGCTAATTGCTGAGAAGTGAACTCCATTATTTATGGTCCGATTTCTTTCATTTTTGGTGTACGTTAAGAAGCATCTTTCCATTAAACATTGCCCAAGATTCAAAAAGATATTCCAACAAACAAATGAGATCCAATTCCCTAGATCAAGAGCAAGAGCCCCTCACCAGCGTCAAGGAACCCCCTTTGAGGCCCGCTCACTTATGGAAATTTCGCTCGTGTATGTAATAAAAAAATCGACCGATGGACTGCTCGTATTTGGAAAAACTTGCACGTGGATGTGCTTGCAAGTGGAGGTTCTACTGTACTTCTAGTCAGTGGAACCAACTAAAATCTTTTCTATTTTAGTAGTATGTCTTCCATTTTATAAAATGATAACAAGAAACAGCCAATAAAACCATCCTAGGAAACACCTCAAAGTCGCTATTTTACACCAAACAGGATCAGAGTTTTGGTTTCCTATCATGCAATGTGTGAAGCAGGATTTTTTTTATACTATGCACACTCACCACATAGACCCACTCTCGTATCTAGGCCAAAATTTACTGCTTACAGCTTATGTGAGTGAGTTGAGCTCATGATAGAGATCTACATAATGGACCCTGGCATCAATAACGTAGTTCTATCTGACAGATAGTGAAAGAGTTCAATAATATTGATACACTGTAATGTGTATACGTAAAGTGTCTTTAATATAATTAAATATGCCAAACAGCTTCCATAAAAAATAATAAATATAAGCAACAATTTAAACTAGATTAAGACTAACAAACAAATATTTCCATGAGTTGATTAATGTATGGACTTGCCTGAGTGAAGGTGTTGGATCCTATGACAGCCCTTGGGGGTGGGGGAGGAGGCTGCAAGGGAAGCACAGTGCCAATGCCAGGAGGACCTGAGATTTCTGCCTCAAATCTGCATAAAAATTAATAATGCATCACTTTACCAATCAAGAATAACTGTCCAAATGTGATTTGTTTAGAAATGAAAAATTTACTCATTTCAAAATGCCTTCTCTTTTCAAGAGTTCCATTGATTTTCCATTAACTTTGTCACTGTCACCTAATTTCAAACTTGTAATCTGAATGAAAGTACAGTAGAATTTAATTTATATGAAATTTTGTTAGCAAAAAAACACAGACTTATGGAAAAATCCCAGGTTCGACCAATTATCTGCTAACTGAAAATATATTCAACAAATTGGCCTTCTATTTTTCCAGTGTCCACTCCAAAAGCCTTGAAATGCAGTGGCCTTTTGAAGCAAATTCTTGCACATGTCATACAGTTTGTTAAAGGTTATTTATACTGCAATTAAGTAACAACCACCTTACAGGCAGGTAATGTTACATAAATCAATAAAATGTATGTTAACCACACACAAGCAAATTGAAAATGAATGAATATGGTACAACTGGCAACACAGTTCAATATCCATATAAGTTTTCTTCACTTAGCTGTAGTCAAATAACCTTAACCTTCTTATAATCAGCATACACACACACACACACACACACACACACACACACACACACCTACATTAGCAAGTAATGATAATTTAACCAAGTATAACTCAACAAAATCAAATTCTAACACATAATCTAGCTCAATGCTATCACAACCTTAATCAAGATTGGTACAAGTTAGTAATGCAAGACTTGACTTTAACCCAATAGTGATAGAAGGCAAGATCATTAAATAAAAGTGAACATAAAGTCCCTGCACTTTAAAGGAGGAGCAACGAATATATCATTGCTTAGTTAATCTTAAGTTAACTTTAAGCCTGCTCATAATGCTCTGCATACAAGGGGCTTTTGGCTTGTACACCCAATCACTATATTTCTTTGTACAACTATGTATCATGTCCAAATAAAAAATAAATAAATAAAAAATAAATCTAAACTGTCATGTCAGGGCACCACTGCAAAGACAGTGATTAAGTGTGAATGATGGTGAAAATGTTTCTTTCTTTTTTGGGTCACTCTGCCTCAGAGGGAGATTCAAATTCAAATTCAAAGTTTATTCTCTATAAAGATTACAATGTTGAATTTACAGAATTTGGTTGTTGTGTGGTTTACTTGTAGTTAAATAATGAATACAGAGTGTACCACTAGAACGCCTAGCATGGCTAGGCATTTCGGGCAGACTTAGTTTAATTCTTTATTTTAAAATATTACAAATTATGAGGTAAGTTGGTATTATGGCTAAGTGACTAAATACTAGTTTGTGAGTTTAGCAATGTGAATGCTTTTGTTTTGGCACAGTACATAGTTTCAGTATTGGAGTATCATAGGATTCATTATTTTATGATTGAGATTAATATTTCTGTTTATGGTCAAATGGGTGAGTGAAAGTGTGAACCACCAGGTGGTATTCGTGTAGTTAGTTGATGGGGTGTATCAGGGAGATAAGATGTTTTCTAATGGTAGTTTTGAAGGTGATGAATGTGTCTGCAGTTTTAGAGTTCTCAGGTAGGGTGTTCCAGATTTTAGGGCCTTTGACATACATTGAATTTTTGTAAAGGTTAGTCGGACACGGGAATGTCGTAGAGATGTTTGTGTCTGGTGTTATGCCTGTGGGTTCTGTCACAACTATCAAGAAAGCATTTTAGGTCAAGGTTGATATTGGAGTTTAAGGTTCTGTATATGTAGATTGCACAGTAGTAAGTGTGGATGTACTGAACAGGGAGTAAGTTTAGATCTATGAAGAGTGGGGGGGTGTGTTGCCAGGGATGGGATTTAGTGATTATTCTTACTGCAGCTTTTTGTTGGGTTATTATTGGCTTTAGGTGTGTTGCTGCAGTTGATCCCCAAGCACAAATAGCATAGGTGAGGTATGGATATATAAGTGAATGGTATAGTGTGATAAGGGCAGTTTGCGGCACGTAGTATCGTATCTTGGAGAGGATCCCAACCGTTTTGGATACTTTTTTGGTTATGTGTTGGATATGGGTGCTGAAATTCAGGTTGTTGTCAAGGTATAGGCCTAAGAATTTGCACTCATTATGTCTGGTAATTAGAGTGTTGTCGATCTTAATGTTAATTTGTGCATCTCCTGCTCTGCTACCAAACATAATATAGTAGGTTTTGTCAGTGTTAAGCGTAAGTTTATTGGCTGTCATCCAAGTCGATATTTTGATCAGCTCCTCGTTAACAATGGTGTTGAGGGTGGCAAGATTAGGGTGAGAGATGACATAAGTCGTGTCATCAGCAAAGAGAATGGGTTTCAGGTGTTGGGATACGTTTGGAAGATCATTGATGTATATGAGGAAGAGCAGGGACCAAGGACACTTCCCTGCGGAACTCCAGTATCAAGTGGCCATGTTGTTGATGCTGTGTCTTTATGGTAACATACTGATACCTATTAGTAAGGTAAGAATTTGAAATAAGCAAGCGCATGGCCTCTTATACCGTAATGGTCAAGTTTGTGGAGTAGGATGTCGTGGTCTACTGTGTCAAAAGCTTTCTTAGGTCAATAAAAATTCCTAGTAGATATTCCTTATTTTCCAATGCTGTGTAAAGCAGATCTAGCATTTTTATGATTGCATCATTAGTGCTTTTATTTTTCCTGAATCCAAATTGGCAGGGGTTGAGTATGTTTTGTGTTGTTATAAATGAATATAGTCTCCTGTGCACGAGTTTCTCAAAGATTTTGGATAGCAATGGTAAGTTTGATATTGGCCTATAGTTGTTTAAGTCTGTAGGGTCACCACCTTTATGTATTGGTGTAACCCTTGCCATCTTGAGTAGTTTCGGGAAGGTGCTAGTTTCTAGTGACTTGTTAAAAAGTAATAAAATAGCATGCGAAAGGATATGGGCCGCTCGCTTGTACAGTAATGGTGGGACATTAGACAGATTCCCTGAGTTGTTTTTAAGTGACTTTATAATCTCGGTGACTTCCGAGGGCTCAATTGGTGCAAGATAGAAGGAATTTGGGAAATTCCCATCTAGGTAGTCCCCGGCATGGCATTGGTATGTGGATTTTATTGGCGAGATTAGATCCTATGGTTGAGAAGAAGTCGTTTATCTTGTTAGCTGTGTCAGTGGGATGTAGTGGTGTTTCATTAGGTTTAGTTAGGACAATATTCTTGGTTTTTTTCAGTTTGTGGGTCCCTAGAATCTGAGAGAGAGTTTTCCAGGTCTTTTTTATATCTCCTCTAGTGTCTGTGAATCTACTGGAGTAGTATAGTTGTTTGGCTTTCTTTATTACATTGGTGAGAACTGATGAATAGTGTTTAAGAATATCTTTGTGTATTAAGCCCTGTCTATATTGCTTTTCATATTGGTGTTTCTTGTCAATGGATTTCAGAATGGTACTGGTTAGCCATGGGCAACCAAGCCGTTTGTTTGCGATCTGTTTCGTTTTTATAGGACAATGTTTGTTGTATAGTCTAAGTAATTTGTTAAGAAAAATGTCTGTCCAGTCATCAATACCATTGGCCTTGGAGAATTCTGTAGGCCAGTCAACAATCTCTAGGTCAGCTGTGAACTTCCTTATTGAGGCCTCGTCATGGAGTCTAAATGAGACTTTGTTGAATTCAAGTGGTGGTTTACTAATGTTTTTCAGGAGGAAGATAGGGTAGTGGTCTGTAGTGCTATCTGTGATTATCCCTGATTTAAGGGGGGCTAGTATATTGGTCCACATGTGGTCTATTATGGTTGCACTTGTCTCGGTGAGCCTGGTTGGTTTAGTTATTGTTGGTATGAGAAGTGTGTTGTTCATATTGTTGATGAAATCAGTTACAGGCTGATCATCTAGTAAGCCAAGGTTGATGTTGAAGTCTCCAGCTAAGAAAGGTGGTGCTTATTCATTTGTCTGTTTGTTATTAGTGACTTTAATTTCTCACTGAAATTTGGGATGTTTGTGTGAGGTATGCGGTAAATGGCACCGAGTGTTATAGGTGTCTTAAGGTTTTTTACAGTAAAATTAGCAAAAATGTATTCCCCATATTCATCACTAAAGCAAGTGGTGCTAATACAAGATAATTGGTTAGAGTAATAGAATTGCAATACCACCCCCAACTTGGTTTGGTCTGCAGTTGTGAATTGCTGTGTATCCTGGTAGAGGGTAGATATCTATTGTGTCCTGCTTAAGCCAGGTCTCAGTAAGAATAATGCAGGAGAAGGGTGTCTTTAGTGATTCAAGGAGTGCCAGGAGGTCATCATAGTGTTTGCTTAAGGACCTGATGTTGTAGTTAAGTACTGATAGACTTTTAGCATTGTTTAGGATAGTGCTGGCTTGTGTTGCTGTGTAATAAAGGCAGTTACTTTCCAATAGGTTTTGATTGGGTGTCAGATTATGGAGGTTTAGATCAGGTCAACGTAATCAATCATCTTCTAGGTTTAAATTATGGTTATTTATATCCTGAGTTGTGTGTTGAGTTCTAGTACTGATATCTGTAGTGGTGGGAAGTTTGAATAAGTATATAGCTAGAGTATTTTGGTCATATAGAGTATAGTCACTACTACACATAATGAAGTTGATGTTGTCTATGTGTTGTGCTGGAATGAACTAAAGTACAACTAGGTATAAACTAGTAATATAAAAATACAAATTTAAAATAGAACAAGACTCTCACTTGTAAATGCACTAAGGTCTAATATAATGACTTTTGTGGAGTCTATGTTTTGAGCTAGAATGAGCTATAGTACAACTAGATTTAATCTAATAATATAAAAATACAAATTAAAAAATAGCACCAGTCTCTCACTAGTAATTGCACTATGGTCTAATATAATGAATTTGGTATTGACTATAGTACAACTGTGTTTAATCTAATAATATAAAAAAGGCACAAGACTCTCAACTGTAATTGCACTAAGGTCTTATATAAGTTGTTTACAAGAATTAGAGTATAACTAGATTTAAATTGACAGGATAAAATACACAAGTTAAGGTAGCAAAAGAATAATAATAAAAAAAAATGATAAAAATAAAAATGGCAATGACTTGGTTATAATATGCTAATAAGATGGTAGACAGGATAATATAAAAGTTGTAGTTGAAAATACTAGTTTAAAAAAGTATAGAATAAAATGGTCAATAAAAGAAGCTTACAATAAGTTTGATCAATATAGTTTAAAGCAAAATTGGGCAATAATAGGGATTTTAGAATAAAATTGGGCAATTGAGTATTTCTTAAAGTGAGGTAAATTTTTGAGGACAAGTTATGGCTAGTTTATAATAAAATAAGATGGAACAGTGATGCGGTAAGTTGTAAAAAAGGAGATAGATTCTGTAGATATTAAACAAATTAAGACTATGAGGTAGAATGGTCGTTGAATACAACAATGACAATCAAAAGTAGTTGGGGTATTAGAATTTTAGGGGGGCACAAATTTATGACAATATAACACTAACTGTGGACTGTGGGTATTATCTGCAGTTTACTCTGATTCTGTTAGTCCAGCCTCACTTAGGAATGTTTTAAGGTCATGTTCTGTAGAGATGAAGTATCTCTTCCCAGTGGGCTGTTTCCTAACTGCAATTTTTCCATCCCTCACAAAGCACTGGTGGATTTTTTGGGCATAGCGTAATTTTCTTAGCTGATAAAGAAGGTTTTGTCTTGTTTTGGTAAGGCACTCACTGACGTAAACATCAGTTTTCATAGAAATAGATGTTTTTAGTAGGTTGTTTCTTTGTAGGCTAGTTTGGAATTTTAACAGCACTGTTTTTTTACCTGCTTGGTAGCCCATCAGTTTGCAATCCTTTAGGTCATCACTACGTATGTTAAGGCGAAGCTGGTCCTTGATAAGCTGTAGGGTGGTCTCCATGCAGGTCTCTTGGGCAACTGTGGGTGGGAGATGTTTGCTGTTAACTACAACAGCATCAGATAGCTGTTGTTGGTCATTATGGTCTTGGAAGTTGGTTATGACATTGGCAAGTTGTTGGTCCAATCTTGATCTTTCCTCTGTAATGTTGGTAGTAAGTAGGGTGACTTGGTCTTTTAGAGTGTTGATAGTGTCTAGGGACTGGGTGTGGGTGTTGCTTTGTTGTTCCAGAGTGTCTAGTTTATGTTCTAGAGCAGTGATCTTGTTGAGGTAATCTGCATTGCTAGCTTTTAGTTCCTGCATTTCTTGAGTTAGTTTGGTGATCGTTTGGTTCTGAATCGTAAGGAGTTTAGCTATTTCTGGGTCGGTGATCTCCCTGACATCAAATACTGGGAAGGAGTTATCTTGGACTGTGGCGGCGGCCATGTTTGTTGTTGTCTGTCATGTGTTGTGGTGGTGCCGGTGGGTGATGAGGGTTGTGTCCTGGCTGGCAGTACCACAAGTTTTCTTCGTGTTTTTACTGCTCTCACGTTTGATGTTAGGAGTCCTTAGCTGGTTACTGGATCTTCTTTTATTGCTCTGACCCTTGTCCATTGGCTGTGGCTTCGGGTGAACCTGGAGAGAGTTTCGGGGGTCAACGCCCCCGCAGCCTGGTCTGTGACCAGGCCTCCTAGTGGATCAGAGCCTGATCAACCAGGCTGTTGCTGCTGGCTGCACGCAAACCAACGTACGAGCCACAGCCCGGCTGATCAGGAACTGACTTTAGGTGCTTGTCCAGTGCCAGCTTGAAGACTGCCAGGGGTCTGTTGGTAATCCCCCTCATGTGTGCTGGGAGGCAGTTGAACAGTCTCGGGCCCCTGACACTTATTGTATGGTCTCTTAACGTGCTAGTGACACCCCTGCTTTTCATTGGGGGGATGGTGCATCGTCTGCCAAGTCTTTTGCTTTCGTAGTGAGTGATTTTCGTGTGCAAGTTCGGTACTAGTCCCTCTAGGATTTTCCAGGTGTATATAATCATGTATCTCTCCCTCCTGTGTTCCAGGGAATACAGGTTTAGGAACCTCAAGCGCTCCCAGTAATTGAGGTGTTTTATCTCCGTTATGCGCGCCGTGAAAGTTCTCTGTACATTTTCTAGGTCGGCAATTTCACCTGCCTTGAAAGGTGCTGTTAGTGTGCAGCAATATTCCAGCCTAGATAGAACAAGTGACCTGAAGAGTGTCATCATGGGCTTGGCCTCCCTAGTATTGAAGGTTCTCATTATCCATCCTGACATTTTTCTAGCAGATGCGATTGATACAATATTATGGTCCTTGAAGGTGAGATCCTCCGACATGATCACTCCCAGGTCTTTGACGTTGGTGTTTCGCTCTATTTTGTGGCCAGAATTTGTTTTGTACTCTGATGAAGATTTAATTTCCTCATGTTTACCATATCTGAGTAATTGAAATTTCTCATCGTTGAACTTCATATTGTTTTCTGCAGCCCATTGAAAGATTTGGTTGATGTCTGCCTGTGTTAAAAAAAAAAAGTCCCTTTGACAGAGACACATTATAATTCTGCAGCTTGACAATATTTTAACAACATATTCTGTGGATGACAGGACAGATTCTAATACAGCCTACCACCTTCAAATTCAGACTTAACAACTTGTCAAAATTTGCATTTGGGCACTGTGAAGATCTTCCAACTGTAGCTAACATTTTGTTCTTTATTTAGGCAAACCATATATGCAAAGAGGTATTATATTACATATAATTTATATTGTAAATTATGCTGTTTGTCAACTATTTTGAGTGGCATCTTGGGGAGGAACACTGAACTACAATGGAAATAAATCACTGCTTGGCTTTCTATTGTAATACCTCTCAAGGATTAAATGAAAAAACAATAATAATAATAATTTTTACTATTATACTTATTATTATATTTACTAGTATAATTGCATTTAATATATTTATTATTATTCTTATTCTTACAGAGCATTAAACCTGCAGGAGTCATACAACACACTAAGAATGGGAATGGTGTGATCCACAGAGAGAGAGAAGCTCTAATCTTTGGATTAAGAGCCCTTCACCAGTATCAAGAGTTAGAATTAAAATTCCAAATAAAGTTTTCACACACACCCCACACACACCACACACACACACACACACACACACACACACACACACACACACACACAAACCACAAAAAAAAAAAAAAAAAAAAAAAAAAAAAAAAAGGGCCAGCCTTCAGGGACTGCTTTAATAATATTCAGAATTCATTACAGGGAAAAAAATATATCTAGGAGAATATTAGCAAGGATTAAATGTGCAGAGAAAGCAGGGCAATATATATTTTTATCAGAGGGAAAGTTCCAAACCCATAGGGGTCATAAGTGCTAAGGGAACAGGAGGTAATCAAGCTTGATCTAAGGAAAAGGATGAAGTCAGGTCTTTGGATCAAAAGCCCCCCATACCAGTCTCAAGGCACTTCCTTGAGGGAAAGGGGGGGGGCAGAATTTACAAATATTGCAATTTCACTGAAAGTAAACTATGCCCATCCTGAAGTTATGTTTATGGTAAGTGTAATTAGGTACAGGTACACATAAGTATAATTAACATACCTAGTAACATATGTGTAAATTAACCAGGATAACCAAATAAAAAAAAATCTGACTTATTTCCACTGGGGTCCTTGGATTATTATTATTATAATCAAGGGGAAGCGCTAAACCCGGAGGATTATATAGCGCCTGGGGGGGATGTGGAAGGCATTCAGGCTTAATTCAGGGAACTGGAGCACAGATCCGATTCCCTAAATCAAGAGCCCCTCACCAACATCAAGGAACCTTCCTTGAGGGGTGGGGTCCTTGGAATATCCTTGTGACTTATGCATCACTAACCTGCTCATCTCATCATCAAGTTGTCTTCTCTTGTCATTTTGTGTCTCCATTATGTGTGAGAGTTGCTATTACGTTACTAAGTAAGAAAGATGTTAAGAGTGAGGGAGGCGAGTCTTGAGGTGAAGGTTTGTTTACATGTGATCAAACCTTCCCACTCACGTTATTTTCACTACAAATATTTAACCAATAAATAGGTTCACGTATATATACATGTTATAGTGTTTACTTTATCAATTCATGTGAATTTAGAGTTTTTCGTAAGGCTATTTTAAGTACAATTATATCATTTACTTATTCTATTCACGGCAAAGCTCTAAACCCATTAGGGTCATACTGCGCCTGGAAGTGAGAAGTAATAAGGGTTAACACCAAAAACAAGAGAAATTAGCTCCAAGTCCACGGATCATGAGCTCTTCAGCAGTATCAATGTTAACTTGTTTGAAGGATAACCTAACTATATTTATTAATCTGGTTAATTTCACTTAGGAATCCGCGGGACTTAGTCGCCTAACATTATTCAAATCTTAAGCCAAAATTTTCTAGATGTAAATACAAATACATGTTTTTATTTCTTTATTTGGTACACAGATAATGTAGATTATATGTAATAAAGCATTGGTAGACACAAAAGAAAGCCACTAGTATACAATGCATTTCGGGTAAACTAATCTTAATGCTTAAAGACTATTTAAGAACTACACATAGACTTAAGGAGGAACTCTTATTCAGTTGACTACAATTATATGTACAATAAGCATGGAAGCTAATGAATAAATGGCACATTTTTAAAAGTATGACTTATTATTTCGAACCTATTCAGTGATCTTCAGTTCTGTGGAGTAATTGAATAGAGATGGTGAAGATACAAGAGGTTACAGAAAAAAATATAATGGGAGAAGATGTGTATCACAATTTCTAAGGCAGGCATGGTGAGTGAGTGTGTGTGTACTCACCTATATGTGGTTGCATTCAAATTCAAATTCAAAGTTTATTCTCTATAAGGATTACAATGTTGGATTTACAGAATTTGGTTGTTGTGTGGTTTACATGTAGTTAAATAATGATTACAGAGTGTACCACTAGAACGCCTAGCATGGCTAGGCATTTCGGGCAGACTTAGTTTAATTCTTTATTTTAAAATATTACAAATTATGAGGTAAGTTGGTATTATGGCTAAGTGACTAAATACTAGTTTGTGAGTTTAGCAATGTGAATGCTTTTGTTTTGGCACAGTACATAGTTTCAGTATTGGAGTATCATAGGATTCATTATTTTAAGATTGAGATTAATATTTCTGTTTATGGTCAAATGGGTGAGTGAGTGTAAGTGTGAACCACCAGGTGGTATTCGTGTAGTTAGTTGATGGGGTGTATCAGGGAGATAAGATGTTTTCTAATGGTAGTTTTGAAGGTGATGAATGTGTCTGCAGTTTTAGAGTTCTCAGGTAGGGTGTTCCAGATTTTAGGGCCTTTGACATACATTGAATTTTTGTAAAGGTTTAGTCGGACACGGGGAATGTCGTAGAGATGTTTTGTGTCTGGTGTTATGCCTGTGGTTCTGTCACAACTATCAAGAAAGCGTTTTAGGTCAAGGTTGATATTGGAATTTAAGGTTCTGTAGATGTAGATTGCACAGTAGTAAGTGTGGATGTACTGAACAGGGAGTAAGTTTAGATCTATGAAGAGTGGGGGGGGGTGTTGCCAGGGATGGGATTTAGTGATTATTCTTACTGCAGCTTTTTGTTGGGTTATTATTGGCTTTAGGTGTGTTGCTGCAGTTGATCCCCAAGCACAAATAGCATAGGTGAGGTATGGATAAATAAGTGAGTGGTATAGTATGAGAAGGGCATTTTGCGGCACGTAGTATCATATCTTGGAGAGGATCCCAACCGTTTTGGATACTTTTTTGGTTATGTGTTGGATATGGGTGCTGAAATTCAGGTCGATTCATATTATTATTATTATTATTATAAACAAGGGGGAAGCGCTAAACCCGGAGGATTATACAGCACCTGGGGGGGGGAATGTGGAAGGCATTCAGGCTTAATTCGGGGAACTGGAGCACAGATCCAATTCCCTAAATCAAGAGCCCCTCACCAACATCAAGGAATCTTCCTTGAGGATGGGGGGTCGATTCATAGCTCCTGGCCCCGCCTCTTCACTGGTCGATACTAATTCACTCTCCCTGCTCCATGATCTTTGCAATACCTCTTCTTAAACCTATTTATGGAATTTGCTTCCACTACTTCATTCTCCAGATTATTCCAATTCCTGACAACTTTAAAGAAATACCTCCTAACATCCCTATGACTCATCTGGGTTTTCAGCTTCTATTTGTGTCCCCTTGTTTCTGTATCCCATCTCTGAAACATTCGATCCTTGTCCACCTTGTCAATGCCTCTCAGTATTTTATACGTTGTTATCATGTCCCCTCTATCCTCTAGTGTCATCAGGTTGAGTTCCCCTTAACCTCTCCTCATAAGACATACCCCTCAGTTCCGGGACTAATCGTGTTGTAAATTTTTGCACTTTCTCCAATTTCGTGACGTGTTTGACTAAGTGAGGGTTTCATACTGGCGCTGCATATTCCGGCATGGGCTTTACGTACATGGTGTACAATGTCGTGAATGACTCCTTACTCAGATGTCTAAACGCCAATCTCAGGTTTGCTAATCTCCCATATGCTGCAGCAGTTATTTGATTGATGTGTGCCTCAGGGGACATGTTCGTTATAATGCTTACCCCAAGATCCTTTTCTTTAATTGACGTTTGCAACTGTTGGTTTCCTAACCTGTACTCCGTCTGCGGTCTTCTGTGTCCTTCCCCAATCTTCATTTATTTATTTATTTAGTAATTTGAGCATACATACAGAGGTACAAAAAAATACAGGTAAGAGCAGCATGCCAAAGCCACTTGTATGCATAGCATTACGGGCTGGCTTAAAATTAACTTAAGATTAACTAAGCAATGATGTAATCAGTGATAAAACATTATTGTAAACAGATAACAATAAAGCACAAATGAGTATTACAAAGACAGGTCATATTCAAAGTTTATTCTCTATAAGGATTACAATGTTGATTTTACAAAAATTTGGTTATTGTGTGGTTTACATGTTGTAAAATAGTGATTACAGAGTGTATCACTAGAACGCTTAGCATGGCTAGGCATTTCGGGCAGACTTAATTGTAAAATATTACAAATATGAGGTAAGTTGGTATTATGGCTAAGTGACTAAATACTAGTTTGTGAGTTTAGCAATGTGAATGCTTTTGTTTTGGCACAGTACATAGTTTCAGTATTGGAGTATCACAGGATTCATTATTTTAAGATTGAGATTAATATTTCTGTTTATGGTCAAATGAGTGAGTGAGTGTAAGTGTGAACCACCAGGTGGTATTCGTGTAGTTAGTTGACGGGGTGTATCAGGGAGATAAGATGTTTTCTAATGGTAGTTTTGAAGGTGATGAATGTGTCTGCAGTTTTAGAGTTCTCAGGTAGGGTATTCCAGATTTTAGGGCCTTTGACATACATTGAATTTTTGTAAAGGTTTAGTTGGACACGGGGAATGTCGTAGAGATGTTTGTGTCTGGTGTTATGCCTGTGGGTTCTGTCACAACTATCAAGAAAGCATTTTAGGTCAAGGTTGATATTAGAGTTTAAGGCCCTGTAGATGTAGATTGCACAGTAGAAAGTGTGGATGTACTGAACAGGGATAAGTTTGGGTCTATGAAGAGTGGGGGGAGGTGTTGCCAGGGATGGGATTTAGTGATTATTCTTACTGCAGCTTTTTGTTGGGTTATTATTGGCTTTAGGTGTGTTGCTGCATTTGATCCCCAAGAAACAAATAGCATAGGTGAGGTAGGGATAAATAAGTGAGTGTATAGTGTGAGAAGGGCATTTTGGGGCACGTAGTATCGTATCTTGGAGAGACCCCAAACCCCGTTTTGGATACTTTTTTGGTTATATGCTAGATATGGGTGCTGAAATTCAGGTTGTTGTCAAGGTATAAGCCTAGGAATTGCCCCCATTATTCGGGAATTAGCGTGTTGTCAATCATAATGTTAATTTGTGCATCTCCTGCTCTGCTACCAAACATAATATAGTAGGTTTTGTCAGTGTTAAGCGTAAGTTTATTGGGTGTCATCCAAGTCGATATTTTGATCAGCTCCTCATTCACAATGGTGTTGAGGGTGGCAAATTAGGGTGAGAGATGACAAAAAGTCGTGTTGTCACAAAGAGAATGGGTTTCAGGTGTTGGGATAACGTTTTTGGAAAGTCATTGATGTATAAAGAGGAAGAGCAGGGGACCAAGACACTTCCCTGCGGAACTCCAGTATCAATTGGCCCGTGTTGCTGATGCTGTGTCTTTAATGGTGACATACTGATACCATTAGTAACGTAAGGTTGAAATAAGCAAGTGCATGGCCTCTTATAACCGTAATGATCAAGTTTGTGGGGTAGGATGTCGTGGTCTACTGTGTCAAAAGCTTTTCTTTGGTCAATAAAAATTCCTATGGATATTCCTTATTTTTCCAATGCTGTGTACAGCAGATCTAGCATTTTTATGATTGCATCATTAGTGCTTTTATTTTTCCTGAATCCAAATTGGCAGGGGTTGAGTATGTTTTGAGCCATTATAAATGAATACAGTCTCCTGTGCACGAGTTTCTCAAAGATTTTGGATAGCAATGGTAAGTTAGATATTGGCCTATAGTTGTTTAAGTCTGTAGGGTCACCACCTTTATGTATTGGTGTAACCCTTGCCATCTTGAGTAGTTTCGGGAAGGTGCTAGTCTCTAGTGACTTGTTAAAAAGTAATGAAATAGCATGCGAAAGGACATGGGCCGCTCGCTTGTACAGTAATGGTGGGACATGAGACAGATTCCCCGAGTTATTTTTAAGTGACTTTATAATCTCTGTGACTTCAATGGGCTCAGTTGGTGCAAGATAGAAGGAATTAGGGAAATTCCCATCTAGGTAGTCCCCGGCATGGGCATTGGTATGTGGGATTTTACTGGCGAGATTAGATCCTATGGTTGAGAAGAAGTCGTTTATCTTGTTAGCTGTGTCAGTGGGATGTAGTGGTGTTTCATTAGGTTTAGTTAGGACAATATTCTTGGTTTTTCTCAGTTTGTGGGTCCCTAGAATCTGAGAGAGTGTTTTCCAGGTCTTTTTTATATCTCCTCTAGTGTCTGTGAATCTACTGGAGTAGTATAGTTGTTTGGCTTTCTTTATTACTTTGGTGAGAGCTGATGAATAATGTTTAAGAATATCTTTGTGTATTAAGCCCTGTCTATATTGCTTTTCATATTGGTGTTTCTTGTCAATGGATTTCAGAATGGTGCTGGTTAGCCATGGGCAACCAAGCCGTTTGTTTGTGATCTGTTTTGTTTTTATAGGACAATGTTTGTTGTATAGTCTAAGTAATTTGTTAAGAAAAATGTCT